GGCAGAGACCCCAGGCAGCCTCTGACGCCCATCCTGCACCCCATTCTCCTGGGGTGCTCATGGAGCCAGCGCTGAGCCCTCCTCGCACACAGCTGCCAGGCGTGCCCGGTCCTCAACCCTCCCCTACCTGGGGCACCTGCTCCAGGCCGATTGGGTTTGATCTGAACACAGCTCTGCTCTTTATTTTGTTTTTGAAATATTTTTATTTTATTCATTTGAATGACAGAGCTAGAGAAAGGGAGTAAGAGAGAGAGAGAGAGATAGGTTGATTTTATATCCACTGGTCACTCCCCAGATGGCTACAACAGCCAGGGCTGGACCAGGCTGAAGCCAGGACCCAAAAGCTTTTTCCAGGTCTCCCTCCTGGGTGCAACGGCCCTAGCACTTGGGCCATCCTCTGCTGCTTTCCCAGGGACATTGGCAGAGAGCTGGATTGGAAGTGGAGCAGCTGGGACTCGAACCCATGCCCATATGGGTGTCAGCATTGCAGGCAGCAGCTTTACCCGCTGTGCCAGAACTCAGACTCCAGATTCACACTTTGGAAGCTCCATCCTTGTGGCTGGGCTGGTCTCTGAGCCTGCGAGTGTGCTGTGGGGCCCTTGGTCCAAACAGGACGATGACAGGTGCACAGCCCCTTCCTCCTCAGAGACCCTTAGAGCAGGTGGTTTGGGGATTAGCGAGACAAAGCAGCTGAGGTGTATTATCACAGGGTGTGCAAGGCCCAGGGAGGCCGGGCCCGGCAGGCACGCTCTCGCCATTCCTGCAGAGACACATGCGGCTCCCAGCAAAGAAGCCTCCAGCCGCTTTCACGTCCGCTTTCGAGTTCCCTGAAAACCTGCAGACAAATTTGTGTTTCCCAGAACACGCGATTGCTCTGGAGTGGTGCAAGGAGGGCTGCAGCTTTAGCCAAAGGGGCACTACTGCAAGCCCAGAGCTCCTGGAGGCTGGGGCCACTCTGGCCAAGGGCAACAGCGGGGCCTATAAGTGTGCTGGCCTCCAGCGGGGTCGCCCTGACCGGGCCTGTCCTGGAGCTCCCCCCTAGGGAGGAGACATTTCCCAGTGCTCACACCCTTGACCCGCATCTCTGGGAGGGGGAGGGGGAGGGGGAGGGGCTGGGAGAGGCCCTGGGCCGAAGCCCCTGCCCCAGCGATGCTGCCCTGAGTGTGTGCAGGTGACTCAGGAGTCTCCAGGTCTCTGGGGAGCATGGCCCATTGCATTCCCTAGAAGGTCAACTCTTCATCCTGCAGACCTGCAGCCAGGGAACTGGTACTGTCCCCTGATCGGTACTGTCCTCCCCGCCCCCCTCAGCCAGCCATCTCCATCTAATGGCCCCGGAGAGGGAAAAGCACAACTGAAACCCATTAGACGGGAGGTGGAGGCCGTGGTTGGGTCAGCTCAGCCCAGGGCCATTGGCAGGTGTTTCCAGCCTCTCCCCAGACCCTGCCCCTTCCAGCTCGCTGTGACTGATTTTTTTTTTTTTTTATTTTTTGACAGGCAGAGTGGACAGTGAGAGAGAGAGAGACAGAGAGAAAGGTCTTCCTTTTTGCCGTTGGTTCACCCTCCAATGGCCGCCGCGGCCGGCGCGCTGCGGCCGGCGCACCGCGCTGATCCGATGGCAGGAGCCAGGAGCCAGGTGCTTTTCCTGGTCTCCCATGGGGTGCAGGACCCAAGCACCTGGGCCGTCCTCCACTGCACTCCCTGGCCACAGCAGAGGGCTGGCCTGGAAGAGGGGCAACCAGGACAGAATCCGGAGCCCCGACCGGGACTAGAACCCGGTGTGCCGGTGCCGCTAGGCGGAGGATTAGCCTAGTGAGCCGCGGCGCCGGCCTTGTGACTGATTTCAACAAACCCCAAACTTCAGGATTTTTCCCAGATAATCGCTGGCTCCTATTAGGATTCCTTTGAAATGGGGAAGTGGCAGAAGAAGCTTTGTGGATATGAACTCCCAACACTGTGTGCAGTGGAGGTAGGGGGTGGGGGTAGGGCAGGAAGGAAGAATCTGGGGCAGCAGGATGGGGTTAGTTAGGTCAAATCTCAGGAAGAACTTCCGGGTCACGGAGGTGTGCTGCCCAGGCACCAGTCTGTGACTGTTATTTCCCGAGGATCCCAAGAGAGTCCTCAGCCCAGGGTCCTGACCTCGCTGGTGGGGAACCCAGTGCTCAGAGGGGCTGGGGGTGTCCCCAGGGTCACAGCTCTTAAGACCTAGGGACCGGCTGGCACCTCGGCTCAATAGGCTAATTCTCCGCCTGTGGCGCCGGCACACCGGGTTCTAGTCCTGGTCGGGGCGCCAGATTCTGTCCCGGTTGCCCCTCTTCCAGGCCAGCTCTCTGCTGTGGCCCGGGAGTGCAGTGGAGGATGGCCCAAGTGCTTGGGCCCTGCACCCCATGGGAGACCAGGAGAAGCACCTGGCTCCTGCCAAGAAAAAGACCTAGGGACCAGGCCTCCTGGCTCCCAGACCTGTGCCCTTGTCCACTCCCTCCCAGTCCATCTGAGCAGTGGGGGTTGCTTTGGAAGGCAGACTGTGGAGCAGGTGGCCCAGGCCTGGGCCCTCCGTGTGTGACTCCTTGGGGTCCCTTGTGACCATGGGTCTTCCATAGTGGGGGCTCCCCAGCTCCCCCAAGGCAGGGGATGCCCATGGGAGTTCCTTGAAGCATGTGTGTGTCCAGGGCGAGTAGTCGGCCATAATCCCAAGAGAGAGAAGAAGGTACCCCCACTGGACGGCCAGGGCCCACAGGTGAGGGCCGATGGCTGAGCACTCGGGCTGTGACAGTCTGGAGGCCCCAGGGGTGGTCCAGGCGGGCTGCCTGGAGGAGCTAGGCCCCAGGCGGGGAACCTGCAGACTGGACGAGTCCACACAAACTCAGCCATCTGCCAGCCAACAGTGTTTCCTTTTTTAACCCCGAAAAATATAGCCTGCCCAGCCTTCTGCCACACAGCTGGTGGGGGGCGGGGGCGGGATAATTATGGCCAGAGTGAAGGCGCTGCTCCGGGCAGGGGATGGGCAGCGTGGCCCGTGTTATTTTCAGTTTGGCTAATCCATTCATTTACCCATCGGCTCCCTTATTCAACCACAGGGTGGTGAGGGTTATGCTGTGTTAGAAACGGCAGTGGCTCCCACATACAGGACCAGGTGTCGTGCATGCGTTACCATCGTGTTTTGCTCCTGACCAGCCCAGGGGGTGCCGCTGAGAGAAGGAGAAAAAATAACCCTTGCTCTCGGGTCAGAACCCAGGCCCGCTGAATCGGAACCTGCCTGCGGCTCCCCACGCTGGACAGCCTCTTGTGCGCAGTGCCCGGGCCCTGCAGCGCTCGATCTGCGGGTGGGGACCCGGCCCTCAGGTGGGCAGGCACGGGAAGCCGAGTCCCTCCGGGAACGCCTTGAGTCCCGGTGAGCCCGGACCACCGCACACGCGGTTGGGCAGAGCAGCTGGGTACAGGCAGCGGCTTTCACGGCCTTCGCTCGTCTCTCTAAGACGCTTCCCGCTGGGGTCCCAATGGCGTGTGTGTGTGTGTGTGTGTGTGTGTGTGTGTGTTCATTCTCAGGGCTGGGGATGGAGCAGGATCTCGGGCAATGCTGGTCTGTCTCTCTCTCACACACACACATGTGCAGTGTGCATGAGTGCCTGAACACAATGTGGGCCCCTCCATCAGAGGGTTCCACCTGATGGTGTAAATGAGACATGTCCTGGGGCTATTACATGGGACGGCAGAGTGCGTGTGCGCTCTGCCAACAGCGACTCATTCACCAAACGTTCTCTGAGCTCACACTATGGTCCAGGCACAGTGCCAGCCCCGGGTGAAGGATGGTGAACGAGACTGGTGCTGGCTCTGTGGAGTCTGGAGTGCCAGGGGAGGTGCCCCCCACCTCCCACCGGGGCAGGTCTGTGGAGAAGGGAGGTGGAGGGAGCAGGGGTGAAGCAGGGGGAAGCCACGCCCCTGCCCCCACAGCTCTCATCCTGGAAGTGGGAGCTGTGGGAGTGGCTGGGTGCCCCCAGGCCTGGGCTGTGCTCTGCAGCAGGGAGGGTCTGTACAGCTTTGCTTCCACGGCCCTGTCCCCAGCTCCCTGGCACTGTGTCCTGCGCTCTCCCTGGGACAAGGACAGTCACACACTTACAGCTCTAATTGAAGTCACTTCTGCAGTCTGGGAAGGGATGCTCTTGCCATCCTAAGAGGGCGGTATGGCTCCCTCCCTGCTTCCTCCCCTGCCTGCCTCTAAGGCCACCTTTCTCAAAGCACCTGCAGCCCCCCCCCCCCCCAAGGGGGGAGAGCTGGGCTCCAGCTCCTTGCAGGCCAAAGGCTTCCTGCAGCCCACAGCCCAGGCCACCTGTTAGCCCTGGTGGATCAGTGGCTGGAATGTTCCCGTGGCCACTGGCTCTCAGAGAGGCACGTGGAGGGGGGCCGTGGAATCACCTCCCTGGGCCTGTCCCCCCCCCCCCACCATCATAGGCCCGAACCAGTCGCAGTGGGGTGTGCAAAAGAACATGCCACACGGGGGCACACACCACGTGCTCGCCGATGTGTGAGAAGCAGCCCCGCGGGAGGCTTTCCCGTGACGCACCGGGTGGGAGTAGCGCGGCCCCTGGCGTGCCTGGGCCTTGCTGTACTTTTCAGTGTGTGTGTGTGTGTGTGTGTGTGTGTGTAGGGGGGAGTCCATGACCCTCGACCTCTGGGGTGAGGAGGAGTCCCCGGCCGGCCGAGTCTTCCTCGGGGTCGGGGGTCCCTGAGCTGGCACGCGCCGGGGAGGGGGGCTTCCGGGCGAGGGCGCCAGTGGGGTGTGGTGGAGGCGCGCGCGGGGAGGTGGGGGGAGCCGCCTCGTGTGGAGGGGCGGCGGGGCGCGCAGGAGCCGGGCCTTCCGGGGGTGGAGGTGCGGGTAGGGGTGGGCTCCCAGGTGCTCTCTCTTTAAAAGGCTGGCGGAAGCGCCGCGCGCTCGGCCCGCACTTGCAGCGCAAACTTGCGGGGCTGGGCTCGCGCCTCCTCGGGTGCGGCTGCGGCTGTGGGCGCAGGGGCCAGCGGCTGCGGCCCCCTCGCCCGCTCGCGCTCCGCGGCGCTCCCGCCCCGCCCGCAGCCTCTCCTCTCGCCGTCTTCCCCTCTCTCCCCGTCTCGCGCTCCCTCTCTCGCTCGCTCTCATTTTTTTCCTTGCTGCTGCCGCTGTTGCCGCTGCCGCGGCGCCGCTAGGCGCCCGCACCCCGGCGGGCAGCGCTCACTGGTCGGCTCCCGCTCCGCTGCCTTCCCAGCCCGGAGCCCGCTGCCGGACCCAGTTCCCCGGAGCCTCCTGGCTCCTTCTCGCTCCGGCTCGGGCGCCGGGCTCCGCGGCAGCAGGAACAGGGCTTGCCGCCGCTCGCCAGCTCGCTCTCGCCGGAGCAGCCGCCGAACGCCGCGGGCTTGGCGTTCTCGCCAGCTCATCCCTGCTGCGTCCGGGACTCCGGGCGGCTCCGCGCCCTGCTCGGTCCGCAGCGTCAGCGCCGCCCGCCGCGGCCCGGGCTCTGGGCACCGCGAGCACCGAGCCTCCGGCCGCCGCCTCCCTGCGCCCCCGGGGCAGGCGGGCGCGCAGCCGACCCCTCGCCGCGGCTTAAACCTCGCCGGCGCGCGGTGAGTTGTGGCCCGAAGGGGACGGGCAGCGAGGACCAAGCCCTCCGGCCTCCTGGGACGCGGGCTGCGGCGGGGACTCCAGGGCTCGGGAGGTGTCCTTCGGCGAGCTCCTCGGCCGGTAGCGCCCCGAGGAGCAGCGGCCGACGGAGCCCTCGGGCCGAAGGGCGCGGGACCCCGGCCCAGGGGCTCTTCCCCTTGGGGTAGCGTCTGCTTTTCCAGAAGACCTGAGGGAGGGAATGGGAAAGCGGCTGTTTTTTTTTTTTCCCCTTTCGGGCTTGGGAAAGTAGTGTCTGGACAGGGGTTATGTCGGGTAGCAGCGGATGGAGGGTCTTGCTGGCTCTCATCAGCGCGCCCCTCTGCGGAAAGGCAGGGCCGGCGGGGGCGCGGGGCAGTATCTGCCCCTCTTCTCCCGCCGTCTCTCCCCGAGGGAGGGCAGCGCCGGCTTCGCGCGCCTGGGCTCCCTTCCCGGGCACCGCGTCTGGCTCCCGTGCCGTCCCAGCGCCGCCTTCGCCACCGGCAGGAGCCGGCGACCCCCTCTCCCCTTACAGCCGCGGCGGCTTGGGGTGGCGTCCCAGGGCCTGGGGTCTCCCCGCAGCGCTAGCACCTGAGGGTCAGGCTGTCTCCGGACGCTCGGGGCCGTCCCTACCCGGGACCGTGATGAACCCGAATCCCCGCGCGGCAATCGGGCGCGTGGGCTGCCGAGTGTTTGTGTGTGTGTGTGTGCGCGCGCGCGCGCCTGGGTTGGGGGTCCCCGCTGCGGGGTCGGTCTTCCCCGGCGCTCGCGGGCTGGTGGCGTCCCCTCCCCGCGCGGAGGCGGGGCCGGGAGGGGGGAGGCTCCAACGGCGAGGGGCGCCCCCGCACCGGGCGGTCTGAAGCTGTTTGTGCAGAGCTGGGGCAGCCGCGGCGGCGCAGGGAGTCCTGAGGCGCGGTCGGACGAGCGCCCCCTGCCCCTAGGCCCCGAGTGATGCCCCCGCCCTCACGGTTCACTCCTCTCGGAGGAAGCGCCTCCTTCCCCCATCTCCTCGCCTTCGCTGCCCGCGGCGCGGCGCGGGGAGAAGGCTGGTTCTTCCAGACGTCCACCGAGCCGAGCTTGTCTCGCTGGGCTGCCCCGTTGAGCCACGTGTCTGCCAGCCCCTCTATCCGCCTGGCAGGAAGGGGGGGGGTGATGGGAGGGAGCGTGGGTAGGTGCATACTTCCACCTTGGGAGCGGGCAGAGGGCTCACAGGGAGGCCCTGGGTGCCCGGCACCCCTATCCCACAGCCTGCTGCTCTGCAGCGTGGGCCTCACAGCCCCGGGGGGCCAGCCCCTGGGGACGGCCCTCGGCCTGCCCCCTCTCCCCTACCCACAGGGGATGCTGGGCCTAGGACTTTGTAGCTAGCAGGGGAGCTTCCTGTCTGTGCAGAGTTCCCACAGAGCAGTCTGGAGGCTGTTGGGTGTGGCGCCCTAGGGCAGGGGGCTCATCTGCTCTGTGGGCAGACCTGGAGGCAAGCGGGGAGTGGGGTGCAAAGCCGTTGTCCCCCTGACCCTGACACACACACACCCAACTTCCTGGAGGGCTTCCCCAGTCCTCAGCCAGGGCCTTGTCCTTGGAGAGGTAGGGGGAGCTTTGAGCTTCTGTTTGGCTGGGGCGCGCACCTGTGAGTTAGGGCACCACTGTGGAAACCTCTCCCTCAACTTGTGTCTTCAGGCATAAGCTTTCGCCCACCTGCCAACACCTTCACACCACCTGGACAGAAATACCCAGAAAGTTGTCCCCGACCCAGGTCTCAGTCACTTCTTGGATTCTCTGGCCCAGATGGGTTTGCAAGTAGGAGACCAGGAGGGAAGGTGGCAGGGCTGCACAGGAGGAATGCCCCCCCCCCCCCACACCTTGGGCGAGTTGCAGGGGCGGGGGCAGCAGGTCCTGAGCAGGCAGAGTGGAGCTGTGCTCCCGCCTCTGGCCTAGTGTGGCTGCTCCTCCCTCCCACTCCCCCCACCTGCATCTGGGCGGCTTCATCCTGGCGGCAGCAATGACGTCTCAGGGAGGCAGCGCCTTGCACAGCACCACGGCAGGCAGCTGAGGTAGCCGGCCTGGGAGCCAGCCCCGTGCCACCAGCCAGAATGGGCCGGGGGTGGGGTGGGGTGGGCTCTGCACACCTGCTTCCTGGGTGTCCACAGCCCTGCTGCCAGCAGGAAGAGATGGGAGCCGGCTCCCGAATGTTGCAATTACAGCTAATAGTCGAGTCCTTTCCCCGAGACAAGTGTGGAGCCGGCAGCCCCTAATTACCGCCCTCCTCAAGATCTCTGCCCACCCCTGCTGTCCTCCTTTGCTCGGCCTGGACCCCAGCTTTGCAGCGGGCAGCCCCGCCGGCAGCCCGGGCAGCTGGGCGGCCGGCTGCCTGGGGAAGGTTATCTCCCTGCTGCAGAGTGGCGGCCGCCTCCGCCGCCCGGAGAAAGGCGTGCAGGGAGCTGGCATCTGGGCTCTGGCCCTGCTCCCCGAGGCTGGCAGGAGAGGCTGACCCGGGGGGGGGCTGAGCGGCCCTGGGCTCCGTGGGCCTGGCGCTGGGGGGTTCAGCATTCTGGCACCGGCCCCTCCCCTCGGCGCTGGCTCATGGAAAGAACGGGAGGGCTTCTTTGCATGAGCGTCACCTCTGCCCTAGTTAGCAGGAGACTCTGAATAATGAATTTAGGGGCTGCCTTGACTTTGGCCCTTGCAGCCTTCTCTTCCCATCCTTGAGCCCTGCTCTGCTCTCCCCCGCTAGGCAGTAGCTACTTGTTCCTCGCCGGCTTCCTTCTCCCCCGACCTGTCTTCTTGCCCTAGCTTGCTCCTGGGAGGGCCGCATAGAAATGGAGCTTGTATAGGAAAGATGAGGGCTGCTCATAGCCCAGCCCAGAGCCCTGCCCACCTGCCTCCTGGTCCGTGGCCAAGAGAGGCTCTTCTCCCGTGTCTGTATTTCTCTTGGCTCCTTGGAACACCGAGCGCCACGACGGTAGAGATCACCCCTTCAATTAAGGCCGATGGCCCCTGTGGCAGTGTTTTATTACGAAGCTCACTGTTGAGCGATTGTGGGGCGGCAGTGAGGCATAAATATCTGTGTACGCACGTCTGTTAAATAAGTCGGGGAACGCAGGGCATAATGACGTTATCTGGACCCCACTCAATTAGGGAGATAGCATCTGCAGTGACTGGGACATGCTGGCCCATGCTGTTGGGCGGCCGAGCCACCACGGCTGTCTCGGGAAGCCGCCGGGGCCTCCAGGAGGAGGGACTGGCTGCCTGTCACTGGCGAGGCTCTGGTCACCGGAGTCCCGGGAGAGCTCAGCCTGCTGTTCTCCCAGGCTAGGGCTGCCGGCCTCAAGACTGGGAAGTCTGGGTTCTGCCTGCTTCTCCCAGCCCTCCTTCTGCTCCTTAGGGAGACAGAAACCAGACCTGGGACCTGTTTTCTGGCTGGGGCCATGGCTACAGGGCTATTTTGAGGTTTAAATATAGGAGTAAGACCTGGGGACTCGACCTGGATTCTTGGTTTCTCTGATGTCGCTTATTGTCCCCTCTTGGGGCCTGGCCTCTGTGGCCTGGGGGCGGGAGTCTCAACCTTGGCTAAGCCAGCGGCCCCAGCTTTCCAGGGCAGTGCTGGAGCTGGGGTGGGGAGCTCTGGCGGGAGGAGGGGAGGCAACAGCAGCAGCGACGCCCGCAAGAGCATCAGCCGCATGCACTTGCCCACTTGGATCTTGGGCTGGAAAGCGAGGGAGGGCGGTGTGGTTGGGACCATGTGGGAGTGGGGGCCCGCTGCTGGGCGGAGACCTGGGCAAGCTGAGCGTGGCAGCGGGGCCCCAGGTCTGGGCGAGGGGGAAGGTCACGGGCACCTGCTGGGCTGCACTGCTGGGACCAGGGGCCGATGGGAGGAGCTTGTTTGGCTGTGCTCCAATCCTGGAGTAGTGACGTGAGCTGCTGTGGGCTTCGCAGATGGCTGTCCTGGGCCTTGTCCCTGCTTGTCGCTGTGTGTGCTCAGAGTCCTCCGGTGCCCCCTGATGGCCCTGTCCACACTGTGACCCCTCAGGGCCCTCTTGTCGTGTGCTCGGCACCGTCTCACGTCCTCATGTCTCTCCCTGTCCCACTGCCTTCCAGTCCCTTGAACACCAGATGTGTGTAAGTGCCTTGGCTCTTGCTATTCTCTCTACCTGGGGTGTTCTGCCCTCCAAGAGAGACACACGCGTGTTCACTGCTTTTAATCTCTGGTTGAATGCCCCCTCCTCAGAAGGGCCTGACTGCCCTCTCCCAGAAGAGCCCTTCTGGGGCACTCCCCAGTTGCTTGCTTGCTCTCCCAGGCTCTGACCCTGAGGGCTGCACGGCGCTCACCGTTTCCCCCTGCAGGGTCAGCTCCACAGGGCAGGTGTTGGGAGCTGCTCCGCCCGTGTGTGATTGGCCAAGCGGTCATGGTGGTGAATTGCTCATGCGTAGCCTCGCAACGGAATTCAGTGCAAGGTGAAGACCCCCTGCCACGGACTGTGGTGCTGGCTGCTTGTCCAGGTGTTTATTAAACGTGTCCTAGCCGGCGCCGTGGCTCAATAGGCTAATCCTCCACCTTGCGGCGCCGGCACACCGGGTTCTAGTCCCGGTCTGGGCGCCGGATTCTGTCCCGGTTGCCCCTCTTCCAGGCCAGCTCTCTGCTATGGCCAGGGAGTGCAGTGGAGGATGGCCCAGGTGCTTGGGCCCTGCACCCCATGGGAGACCAGGAAAAGCACCTGGATCCTGGCTCCTGCCATCAGATCAGCGCGGTGCGCCAGCTGCAGCGGCGGCCATTGGAGGGTGAACCAACGGCAAAGGAAGACCTTTCTCTCTGTCTCTCTCTCTCACTGTCCACTCTGCCTGTCAAAAAAAAAAAAAAAAAAAAAAAAAAAAACGTGTCCTGTGTTCTGAACCTGGACTAGGCATAGGCGATGCAGAGATGAGGCTGGTCCGGTCCCCACAGGCCCTTAGTGTGTCCTCAGGCTCCTTAGTATTAACATGAGGGAGGGTCTGTGACGTTAGCTGCAGGGGGAGTGGTAACAGGAATTGGAGTAATCAGGGCAGGCTTCCTGGGGGAGCAGAGAGCTCAGCCCTGTCTTGAAGGGAGGCACTCACGGGCAGGGGCCATCGGTTTCAAGTTTCCCCTCCTTAGTACCCACTGGTGTTAAGCTAGGGAGTTGCTGCAGCCCTGTTGCTCCCTGCTCCCTCACGTGTCCTCCCCCCCCCCCCCAGTGCCTCCCAGAGCATGGCCTGCACAGAGCCAGCCACCTCTGGATCAGTGTGGCAGAAGAGGGAAGGGCTGGCCTGTGAGGTGGGGTCTGAGGTGTTCCCTGGAGCAGGGCAGGGGCTCAGTGGGCAGGGGGCTTGGGAGCTAGACCCCCAAGTGGGTCCTTGTGCAGAGCAGGCCATGGCCAACGAGACGCCCCCTGACAGCCCTGTCAGTCCTCTGTGGCCCGTCTCAAGCTCTGGCCCCACGGCCACCGTTAGACCGTCCGTGTGTGGTACAGGACTGTCGACAGGCAGGTCCTGGAGACGCAGCAGCGGAGGCCCTGGGTCCTGAGTTCTCCTCCCTATCACTGTCTTCCCCATGCTGTGCTGGGGCGCCCGGGGATCCGAGGAGCACGGCCTGGCCCCCCAGTGGTGGTGGCCCACGTGGCGCCGTGGCTGTGCCTATGACCTGCTTTCTGGTCTGCGCCTTATGCAGAGCACACGTCTGCCCAGCCAGCTGAGGGTCTCCCCCACCAGGTTCTTTTCCTGTCCTGGGAAGTCGGCAGCGGCGACTTCGATGTCTGGTGTGTGCAGCTTTGGAGAGTGAAAGCAGACAGTGTCCCCTGCCACCCCTGTGTATGCCTGAGCAGCACCGGGGGTGGGGGCAGTGCAGGGGGAAGGAATGCGAGGGGCCGTGGAGGGAGCTGGGGTGAGGTGGTGAGCTGAGGGCAGGGGCCCTCCGAAACCCCCCGGAGCAGGCCTGCTGGGTGCCCCCACTCCCCAGGCCTCCCTGCCGCTGGACCGGCCCTGGAGCTGCCGGAGCCAGTGTCAGGTTTCCTCTGTATTTATTAGCATTTTATTCTGGCCTGTGGGTTTTGTTCCATTTCCTTCATTTTGGGTGGAAAAGTAATTGGGGGCTGAGAAAGTCACGGCGGTTCGTAGGACTGGTGGTGGCGTGTGCCCTGTGGTTCTTCCTGGCTGGGCCGAGAGGCAAGGCGCCACACTGCATTAGGGAGGCACAGAGCGCCTTCTCCCCAAGCCTGCAGCCTCACCCAGGCCCTCCCATGTCAGGGAGGCCTGCGCGCAGCTGGGTTGCGTGGGGACGTCCTTTGTGCGGGGAGGGGTAGCTGGCCACCGTCCCCCCAGCTTCCCTCATGTCCCCATTCACAGAGAATGTTCTGGAACACCCAGCTGGCCTGTGAACTGTTGCTGCCCTCTGCGCTCGGCTCTCCTATTCCCTCCCAGCCTAGCTCTGTCCTCTGTTGGAGCCAAAGAATCCAGCAGGGGCTGGAGCGGGTGGAGAGGGAGGAGAGGGAGGAGGCGCCCACCTGGCTGGGGCTTGTACTGGCACACTCCCAGGGGGTGTCATTGTTCCTGGCTGCTTTGGAATGTGTGTGTGTGGGGGGGGGGATTCCTGGAGACTGGGGAAGGGGCCTCGCAGAAGAGCCCCTGCTAACCGGCCCCAGCTCACCCTTCCTGGGCAGATGCAGGCAGGGCTGGGGTGGGAGTGGGGGGGCAGAAGGGAGCCCTGAGCCTGGGGCGGCTCCCGCTCCCACCCCGCCCCACCCCTGCCTCTGCTCTCCTGGCTCCTTTCACTCGCGGGGTATTTTTACTTGCTCTTGTTCCTGTTACACGATCAAAGGAAGGAGGGGAGGCTAAAAGCGGCTTTGCCCAGCTCTTTGGAGAGGCTCAGAAAAGGCCGGCCTAGCTGGGCAGGGTGGAGTGGGCCTGGCTGTGGTCAGGGGCCTGGGGACCTAGTCCTGGGAGTGAGGCCTTGTGGGGATCTGAGCAGCTGGGGGCAGGGCCTGAGGCCGGGGGCTGCAGGTGCTTGTTCTCCTCCCGGAGGCCCTCTTCCCGTGTGGCCTGTCCTACCCTGAGCTTGTGCACGCGCACTCTGCTCAGCCCAGCCATGCGCAGGCCTGCAGGAGAAGCCGGTGTTGAGCCCCCTCAAAGGATCTGTGTCGGAGGCTGCTGTGCACCCGTCTCGCAGCCTGAGTCTGCTCTGCTGTCGCTTCGGCACACGGCTTGTCACGATGCCCAAAATCCCTCTGTTAGAAACTGATGGGAGCCAATTGTGAACTTACAGGATACCGGGAACTGGCAGGGCCGGAGAGGTGAGGTGGGCCGGCCTGCTGGGGGCCCTGGGCAGCCTGTGCAAGCTGTGGCCCGAGCTAACCATCATGGAAGTGCTGGGGGTGCCTCAGGTCTGAGACAGGGACCTGATTGCCCTTAGCAAACACTCCGGTACGGGGTCCTGGCTGCTGCTCTCTTCGGGGCAGCGTGGTGGGCAGCACACAGGAGGTGCTCATCATCTCCATAGCATGCTGACCCCTGCCTGCACCCAGGCTGGTCGGCCACACCGCCCCAGCACGGCCACAGCGGACAGCGAATGCCTGCAAGGACAGTATGGCCCCCAGACTGCATTTTCCTCCGCCTCTCCCGTTACACAGAAAATGAGGACTGGCAGAGATGTGCCTCTAGCACGGGCAGTGGTATCAGGACCCTGGGATCTCCGTGCAGGGGCGACCCCGCTCCCTGGAACAGGTCGTGAGCCTTCCTGGAGCACTGGCTCCCAGCTCCTGGCTGCAGGTCAGGGGCGCGTCCGTCCGGGGTTCCTCCTGGCTCGCTCTGCATGGGTGGTGCTGACTCTTGGTCCCCAATGCGGTATGCCTGCCTGCTCTGTGCCTTTGGGAGGCTTATGTAACGCCCTGGACCCCCCGGGTCACCTGCAGGACCGGGCCTGGGGAGGTGAACAGCCGTATTCTGGCCTCTGAGGGGTGAAAGTGGAAGGAGCCTTTTGGTGAGGGGTGGGGCGGGAGGCTGGAGCGGCTCAGGAGCTGCCCCATCCCCCCTCCCCTGGGCCCAGAACTGGGCAGCTGGGGCCTCTGTGGGGAGAGTGACTGGTGGGGGTGGAATGGTCCGAGGCCTCTGCTGGGCCTTCGTGGTTTTGTGCAGGTTTCTTGGGGAAACCTCTCCGTCCCAACCCCAGCCCCTCTTCCAGCCGCCTGGGGAAACTGAGGCACCAAATGGACAAGTGGCTTGCAGGTCTTCATTTGAGAAAACCCACAGGGATGGGCCCCCGAGTCAGGCCCTGACTCAGCTCCCAGCCCTTCTCCCTGTGGTCTCCTAAGTGGAGGGGAGGGAGGATGCTGGCTCTGAGCAGGGAGGCTGGGGTGAGGGAGGGAACCCTCAGGGGAAATTAGCCCAAATTAGCAGTGAGAATGAGGAAGAGCTGGTGTTCGCTCCTCTCCCCTTGCAGATAAATATTTAATCACAACAACAATAATCAGGCGATGATCATAATAATGTGCAGTGGCTGGCCCGTAACCGGAGCCCCAGTCTCAGCGGGAGGAAGTAGGGTGGGGGGAGGGAGAGCAGTGGGGGCTTTCTTCTCACTCAGGAGCCCTGGCCTGGGGACTGTGCAGCTGGGCTGGGAGGTAGAGGGTCCCCGTCAAACTTCTCGATGCAGGGGGCGGGTGGAGGGCCCCGCGCTCAGCTGCTCCCTGGCCTTACAGGGAGCACCTCCCGGCCGGCCGGGGCTGGTTTCTCCTCCAGGAGCCCCCCCGCCCCGAGGGTCGGCAGCCTGCTCCCCTGCCCCGGCCTCTGTTTCTCCCGTGGGTTGGGCCTGGGGGTGGCTGCCCACTCTGTGGCTGTGCTGTGGAAGGCGCCTCTTCCTCCAGGGCCCGTCTGAGGCTGTTCCTGGGGACTGTGCTGATGGCAGCGGGAACAGGCCTTGGACATCTTCAAACATGACCTAATTTCTGCCTTAAGCTCTCTCGTTTCGACCGGAGTGGAGCCGCAGCCGGGAGGATACCAAGTTCGGGAGATTTATGGAGTCTTTGGTGATAACCTCCGGCATCTCCTTCTCCTCGGCTCCTGACGAGCGACCAGAATAGCTAATGTCTTCTTGGGGCTTCAGTTTGATATCCTTTCCCTCTCTCTCTCTTTCTCTCTCCCTTCTAAGGTTGGTAGGAGGAGAGGAGCCGAGCTGTTTCCTCCTTGATGCCAAGATACGCCAAGCTGGGAGCACCCTTCCCTCCCCGCAGTCAGCTGCCAAGCACAGGCCCGCAGCACTCGGGGGCCGGGACCCGCGTTTGCCCGCAACCCCGGCCGCTCGCTGCCGTCTGTGGGCCGGGACCCTGTGGGCTTCTCAACGAGGAGGCAGTGGGCGAGAGCCTCAGCATGGGTCAGCCCTCCGGCCGCTGAAGCGGCCCTGCCCATGCGTCCCCAGGCTGCCGCCGCCGCAGTGTGGCCAGGCACCTGCCTGGGCTAGGAGTGGGGCCCGCTGTGCATGGGTCTCTAGGGAGTCCAAGATGCCTGGGAAGAGAGGCGGGAGCCGGTGGTGGGCACGGCTGCCCCTCTGCCTGCTCCTCAGCCTGTCCGGCCCCTGGCTGCCCTCCTCCCTGGGGAAGCCCAAGGGCCACCCACACATGAACTCGATCCGCATAGATGGGGACATCACGCTGGGCGGCCTGTTCCCTGTGCACGGCCGGGGCTCCGAGGGCAAGGCCTGCGGAGAACTGAAGAAGGAGAAGGGCATCCACCGGCTGGAGGCCATGCTGTTCGCCCTGGACCGCATCAACAACGACCCGGACCTGCTGCCCAACATCACGCTGGGCGCCCGCATTCTGGACACCTGCTCCAGGGACACCCACGCCCTGGAGCAGTCGCTGACCTTTGTGCAGGCGCTCATCGAAAAGGACGGCACGGAGGTCCGCTGCGGCAGTGGCGGCCCGCCCATCATCACCAAGCCCGAGCGCGTGGTGGGGGTCATCGGTGCTTCGGGGAGCTCCGTCTCCATCATGGTGGCCAACATCCTTCGCCTGTTCAAGGTCAGTGCCCTGTGGCCGGCCACAGCCCAGCCCCTTTCTCCTCTTCCTGCCCCCACGGGAGAGCGTTTGTTCCTAGGGTTGAGGGTGTGGAGTCGGCCTGCCCCAGTTCAGGGTGTTGTGTGGGAGGGCGCTGACCGTGGTGCTGAGCTGGCAACCCAGGCCGGGTCGGAGTTCCTCGGTACTCTGCTGGGACACTCGGATCCAGGGCGGAGGGAGGAGGGGCGGCGGACAGAGCGAGATGGAGATGCCAGAGCGGAAGGTGGGTGGTGGAGATGCCAGGGAGGGAGGGTGAGACCCTGCTCTCCCGTTGTTTTCAGCACCTGCAGTCCCCTAGGAAAACGCGTTTTCCTTCCGGGTAGTTGAGGAATTCCCTCGTGGCCTTGCCGCGACTATGGCGAGAGAATGCACCCTCCTGTTTGGGGGGGAGGCTGGGGCTTCGGGATAGAGGCTGCAGACGAGGCTGGGCGAGCCGGGCCTGGCGGGAGACCAGGCCTCTTCCTGTCTGGCTTCCTCCCCTCTGCCCTTTCTCGAACACCTTCCTCCCTTTCCTTCTGAAATCCCTCCCTGCCCCCTCCTTGCCGCCTCCCTTCCTCTCTTCCTGGGGCAAGAGCTGCTGATTTGCAATTCAATTGGAGCCAAGTGCTTCGCTAAGCTGCTAAAACAACTGAAAGCTACCGGGTAGAGAGAAAACATTACAAGCATTTTACCAATAATTACGTGCCCGCCTCGCGCTCTCGCTCTTGCTCTTGCTCTCGCGCTGTCTCTGTGCTCGCCTGGTTTGCTCTGTGTGCATGTGTGAGCGTGTGTGTGTGTGTGTGTGTGAGAGAGAGAGAGAGAGAGAGACAGACAGACACAGAGAGACAGAGAGAGAGAGAGACAGAGAGAGAGGGAAGAGAGACCGGAGAGCATGGGGCACAGAGGAAGCCACTGGGGTCCCTCTTTGCCCTGGTGTCAGTTTCTCGGCCTCCTGAATTGGGAGTGGACTGGGAGAGGCTGCTGGGCGCTTTGCAGGCTGGGAAGAGCTGTGGCGGATCCCTGTCACCTGGCCTCTTTGTGGGACTGCCCTGATGTGAGGCCAGGGCAGGAGAGGGGTGCATGGAGCGGACGGTTCTGTGTGGAGCTGGGGACAGCGGCGATGAGGACAGGACTGCAGCTCTCCGGTCACAGGGCAGGCTGCCTCCTATGTGCACAGCATCTGCACATCCCTGCTGTGCCGTGCGGTCCCGGAGTCCTGGCCTTGTCCTGGAGTGTTGATTTGACTTGGTGATCTGGGTGCAAACACATTGTCAACAGCAAAACAAATGAATGTCTCGTGCAGAGCGTCAGGTGTGTGAGGCAGGAGGCCTTGAGCAAACCCTTGGGACTGAGTCATTGCTGGGCCCGTCCAGGGTTCCCACCCCATGGGCTGTGCCCTACGGACTGGAGACCAGTAAGTTGGAGGTGGGGGTCCTCGGGCCGCTGAGTCTTCACTAAGTCACTGGGCCCAGGCCTAGGAGGGGAGGCAGCCTGGGCATCTCAGAAGAGGGGACAGGCCCTGGACAAGGAGCACAGACCCCCAGCCTCCAGGAGGGCCACACCACACGTGGCGCTTTCTCATTCGGTATCTCTCCTGATCTGGGCCTTCTAGAAAGTCGGTAAACAGCTTGCCCTGGGAGCGATGCCCTGGGTGAGGGTCCCTTCTGCCACCACCCAGAGGTGAGGAGGTGGAGAGGCCCAGGCCAGCCGAAGGGTGCAGAAGCTCAGAGGCGTCCCCTGGCAGCGTTGGGGTTCCAGACACAGCTGTTTGGGGATGACGCATCAGTGCCCACCCTTACCACGATGGGCGGGGCCGTACTGGGGAGGGGCCTGGGGCCGTGTACCCAGTGGGTACGGACAGGGATAGGGAGCCCCCCACAGGACTGGGGAGTGGGGAAGGGGTGGTTGGAGGGGGCTGGAAGGGGAGGGAGGGGCTCAGAGAGCTGCTTTAGCTGGTTACTGCTCGAGGGGGCTGCACGAGGCCCCCAGTGATTAAAATAAGGGGCTGGGCGGGAGCCTAGAGAGCAAGATGATGCAACTTTAGGGAGGCTGGGGAAGGAGCTTCCAGGAGGACAGGGAGAGGGAGGGGCCGTGCTGCCCCAGCCCCCAGCCCCACAGGGCCCGCTGCCTTCCCTCTGCCCCCCAGAGGTGGATTTCTGGTGCCCAGCCTGGGAGGAGCTGTGGATCTGGGGACGCTGCGCGTGCAGACTGTGATGGGGTCAGAGCCAGGATACAGAGATACTCCGACGCGTCGGAGCTGGAGGGGCCGACGCATCCTACAGATGTGGAGACTTGGCCCTGAGCGACCCCCAGGGCAGGGCTGGAGCCAGGCCCCGCCCCTGCTGCCAGAGACCTCCGAGGGAGCGGAGTTGCTGGTGGGACTCAAACCCAGACCTCCTCTGGGGACCAGCAGCCCTGGCACTGGGAATCCGCAGGTCTTACAGCTCCCACCCCTGTCCCTCCTCCTCGTTGTAGGCCATTCTCCCAGGACAGGAATACTGGTGAGTGTGAAAAATACCAGGGGTAGTGGATCCAGCCCAGGTCCTGGAGCCGGTCAAGCTACGTCCATTCAGTGTCCATTCAGTATATCAGTTATTTACACTATAGTATGAACGAGGCAACAAGCCACTCATGGTGGGTAGAGTTTGTGACTCAATGGGTTAAGCCGCTGCTGCAGTTGCCCACGTCGCAGTTTGGAGTGCTGGTTCAAGTCCTGGCCATTCTGCTTCTGATCTAGCTTCCTGCTCGTGTGCACGGGAGGCAGTAGATGACGGCGCAAGTGCTTGGGTCCCTGCTGTCTGTATAAGAGACCCCGATAGCCTTTTTGGCTCTTGGCTTCGCATATGCTGTTGCAGGCATCTGGGGAGTGAACCAGCAGAGGGAAGCTCTCTCCTCTCTCCTTCTTCCTCTCTCTCTGTCACTGCCTTTCAAATAAATAAATAAGTTTTAAAAAAAGCAAGGCTTGGGGCTGGCGCTGTGGCTCACTTGGTTAATCCTCCGCCTGCAGCGCCGGCATCCCATATGGGCGCCGATTCTAGTCCCAGTTGCTCCTCTTCCAGTCCAGCTCTCTGCTGTGGCCTGGGAGTGCAGTGGAGGATGGCCCAAGTGCTTGGGCCCTGCATCTGCATGAGAGACCAGGAGGAAGCACCTGGCTCCTGGCTTCAGATCGGTGCAGTTTTGGTCGTAGCGGCCATTTGGGGGGTGAACCAATGGAAGGAAGACCTTTCTCTCTGTCTCTCCCTCTCACTGTCTATAACTCTTACCTGTCAAATAAAAAGAAAAAGACAAAAAAATAAAAAAATTTTAAATTAAAAAAAAGCAAGGCTGAGTGACAGAGGGAGAAGAGAATCTTCCAGCCGTTGGTTCCCTCCTCAAATAGCCACAATAGCTGGAAACCATCCGCGTCTCCCGTGTGGGTGGCAGGAATCATCTGCTGCTTCCCAGGTGCAGGAGCAGGGAGTTGGGCAGAAGCGAAGCAGCGGGGCCTGGGCTGTGGCCGAGGAGGTTCAGGCACCGCCTGTGATGCCAGCACTGCTCTGAGTCCCGGCTGCTCTGCTTCCGATCCAGCTCCCTTCCAGCTTGCCTGGGAAGGCAGCAGAGGATGGCCCAAGTGCTTGGGCCCCTGTACCCATGTGGGAGACCCGGATGAATCTCCTGGCTCTGCCCTTGGCCTGGCCCAGCCCTGGCTGTTGCAGCCAGTGAACTAGTGGGTGGAGGATCTCTCTCTCTCTCTCTCTCTCTCTGCTCTCGCTCTGTCTCTCTGCCTTTCAAATAAATAAGTGCATTGTAAAAAAACAAACAAACAAAAAAAAAAACAAAAAAACCAACAGCAGACTGACTCCAGTATGGGGTATGGGTGTTGAATGAGATGGCCCACTGCACGGCCCATCCTGTCATTCTGGCTTTCAAATCAATAAATCTTTTATTTATTTTTTAAAAAATCCATTGTGAGAACAGCCTTGCTGTGGGGAGAAGGAGCTGACTAGGGTCCCTGAAAGAGCGTGGTGTCCGAGTCCTGGGCTGGTTCCTGTTCCAGGGTCCCCGGCGGTCCCTCCCCTGAGTTCTGCATTCAGTGTGGAGTGGCCAGGGCAGTGCCCACCCGGGAAAGGCCGTGTGGCGTGGGTGGAACCCCGGGCTCTGGAGCCGGACAGCCTGGGACCAATCGGTTGGAAAGCTGCCTCAGTTTTCTCAGTTGTAAAATGGGCGTGGTAACAGCCCCGACCCCGTGGGCAAAGGCGTGGGCGTTGAGAGGCGTCGCGTGGTGCCTGGCACACAGTCAGCCCACGGGAAATGTCACTGCACAGCTTGTGGCCCGGCCTTCCGTCCTCTTGAGCGACGGCACTGGGCACTGATGCGGAAAAGGCTGGAGCGGGCTGGCGGTGACAGACGGTGACCTTTGAGGCTGATCCTGGAGAGCCCTGCCATCTGCTGGCCTCTTGTGTCTTCGGCCACGGACGGGCTGCGTGCTCAGCGTGCTGCGGTTCCGATCGCTTGTTTTCTCAGTGGACGGGGGGGAGGGGCAGCCCCCCAGCCCCCCAGCCTGCCTTGTGCGGGGCTCTCAGTGCCAGAATGGCCTGTGGCTGCTTCCGGGGCCCTCGGTGCCTGGCCCAGAGCTCCAGCCGGGGGTGGTGCGCGGAGGGTTGGTTAATAGAAGCTGTTCCGTGGAGGGTGTGCCTTTTGTGTCTTTCTAGTGTGGGCACTGGGCAGCTGGGAGGGACTCCAGACAGAATCCGCCTGCCCTCCGCCCGCCCGTCTCTCCTGAAGACAGCTCTGCCCTTCTGAGCTCGTGCTGCAAACCTGCAGCCTTGGGGGCCTCCCTCTCTGTGTGCCTCAGCAAACCCTCAGGCTCTGTTTCCAGGACTGCCCGGGCCGCAGCCGCCTGCACCTCCCCATCACCCCTCTCCTCTCCCGCACTGCGCGCGGTCTCCCCCAGCCACACCTTCGCCCAGCAGTTGGAACAGTCCTTCTAAAATCCAAATCAAACC